CGACCTTTACATTAACTGGATCGTAATTATTGCATGACAATGGAGCTGATGTCCATTTTCGTGTTGGGAAAAGTTAGTTATCTATAAACGCTGCGGATAAGGAGGGAAACCTTTCACAAAACTACAAAACATCCTCGCATGACACTACAAACTCGGCGCATTGATTACATGATTTCTCTAAAGATAATTTGCATTAAATACTTGTCTTAAGAGAGGAACCGATCAGATAGGAAATGCTAGTAATACGATCACATGCGTTGTACATGGTATATTTTAAATTTCACGATGTTTGTTAGCTTTCCAGACTTTCGTGATTTCTGTGTTTCCGTTAGTCTTTTTAGTTGTTAAGATTAATCAGTAACATGCGATTCACAGGTGGAATAAATATAAATGCATCAATGATAGTGACGATAAATTTACAATTTACCAAGATCTCTATTACTGATGATGATAACTTGGTCAATAACCTTGCTACTTCCTTTCATCAGGCAATTTATAGAACACATTTATTATGGGGTAAGGTGCCTTTTGTGATTTCCCCTATACAAATCATGTGCGTTGTGAACCGTGACCTTGGTTTTTATATTACCAAGTTGAACCTTCTTTTTCTTTGTCCCGTTTGCCATTAGAGCCTCAGTTATTTATTTCAAGATGTCATGTTTCCTCACTAAATGTTTAAAACATCCTTTTCGTTCATGGTCAGTGTGTGCGTGTTTGTTTCACATTCATTGGCTTGTCATCGTTTTATTGCGTCAGTTGTTCACACTTCATCTGTAGTCTAGAAGGTTGCTGTTTGTACCACATTTGAACATTATGAGTCAGTTGAATGGTTCGATTTATGCAATTTTTCTCATATCCCTGATGGGATCGCATTTTTTTCTGTCGATTCACCGTTTTCATTCGTGAATCCAATGCAGACTATTTTCGGAGGTGTTTGCTTTCTAACTCATGAAAGCAGTACGCAACGCATAGTTCTTTTTCACAATTGCAGACGAAAAGAAAACCATTCATCCTGAATGTTTGCATCCACTCTAGAGACGAGGTCAACCGGATTCCAGCTACGTACCCCCGCAGCTGATTTTGCGAAGGATTCTCTATGGCTTCATAAACCATCCATAATGAAACCCTTCAAATCATCAACATGAAACGAAATGAAAATGTGCAGTGAATCCGGAAGGACTTGCTGGATTCCGTTGATTGCGTTCAGTTAATGAGCAAGACATATGACCCTTGGAGGGTCATTATTTTGGAAGATACCAATGCAACAAAGCATAATCAGTAAAATGCAATCAACGTACAATGTAAAGGCTGCATCCAACTGAGTGCTGCGGTCGACCGGTGAGTGACCAATGTAAATGGAAAAACTGGCAGGTATGTATATGATAACAAAAGAAGTAACTCACCATCACATCGTAAGCGTGGTAGGAGACGATTAGAGCCAACAGGACGATGGTCGAAAGACTGATGAGAAACCGCATACCGTAGGAATAAATACTGGTCTGTAGAGGAAAAAATGGAATAGTTGCGGTAAAATAAGCAGTGCAATAGTTTTAAGAGAACGATTGAATAACGATGTTCAACAACAAAAAAGCAAAATAACTTGAATTGGACCGCTTGCCGAGAGATGTAAAATTGCTGGAAGTGGATTGGTATGTCTTGTGAGAAAATAAGAGCGGCAATTACGCTTTCTCCCTCCTGCGTATAAATAAAAATAACTCAATAATTAGATCACATTATTTACAGGGTCCTTAATCAATATCGTTGGAGTTTGAAGCTCGCGCTGAATAGTTTGTTTAGTCGCTGAACTTGACCGGATTGTTGACGTTTCATCACTGGCGGAGGTGGTATTTGGACTGCGGTTGTTTAGCCAATCGCAACACGAGCAACTGAACAACATGAATAGGAAGGTGTTCGAGGGATATGGGGGGAGATTTGAACTTGGTTTCTCTTTTCGCGTCCAAATCTTTGTTTATTACCTGCAAAATTGTCCGTTGGATTGGGTTCCCAAATTTTGTTCGTGATTGATTTGATGAACGTCCAAATGCTACACGTTTCGGAGTACAACAACGTAAACTTGTGACCTGTCTAGTTTTTCACTCTGCTCAAACGGCACATCTCTAGGCAGACGCAGTACTTCATGTTACTTTTTCACCTAATGTTGTTCTCTGCAATAACTGTTGGCTTCCTGCCACTTATCTGATATTTGTATTTCATCTTCGATCTTCGCAACTGAGTCCGTGTAATTTTTTTATTACAGAAAAAGGATAATCTTGCATGCATCGGTTTTGAAAAATCCTGATAAATGCCACATCGCTTTTTGTGTCAGAGCCACAGATTTCAATATATCTTTGATGTTTATCTCTTAATATTTTTACTGATTTATTTCCCATTTTGAATGCTACATGTTTTTGTCTTACAAATCTTTTAAATCGCAGAATGCGGCTTTTGGTTAACTTCAGGTTAACATACTTTTTGTGAGAAATCATGCTCAAACTTGTCCCATTACGTATAAATAAAACAGACAAACAAACAACACAAAAACCAAAATTTGATTAAACAATCCAGGTTTATAAATTTATGCGGTGGCTTCTAGTGAATTAAAAGAACCACCCCATATGGTAATCCGGCTATACGCTCATCAAAGGATTCCACATGCCTCTGCAAGTTGGGTGGTTGCTCTAAATTGCAAAGGATCAGAGCTGTAGGTATGGTTTCTTCTCCCAGCTGGTAGTGCATGCACCCACTGTACGAAAGGGTAGGTCGAATCCATATCTGGATTCGAATCTTACGGAGACCACGGGTCTTCCAAAACTGAAATAGTCACCTTCCATAGTTGGCAAACAACAGAGTTGGAACAATATTCAATGGGATGAAACATAAAAGAGGGCGAGTCATGCAGCGAGACTAAACAACTTCAAATTGGTGCACTGCTCGGATTACGCAATCAAACTAGAGTGTGTTACGTCACTATCATATCTTTATTCGGTTAGGAGGGTTCGCACGCATTTAACAAATTACGCTATGCGAAAAGTTCATAACACGTGAAAAGAGATGTTAAATGCCTCTGCAGTTTCTGCAGGGGAAGACCGAGGCCTATCAAACTATTATCCGCTCTCTGCCAAATGAACAACAATGGGGCTAGTAACAGCCTCGTACCCACCATATATATGACACCGCTGTTTTTGTTCTTCGATGGGTTGAAATAATTGCCTTGTCGGTCGTATCAAGAGGGCACTTGAATCGCTAGACGAAGTCAACATTGGCAGCTTATCTTTGTTATCACACCGGAAGTTTGATGACGCCAAGAACATACCTATTAGTTTAGCGACATTAAAGGTAAACTTTACTGCGGCAGATCAAACTATACTACCCCTGTCAGTTACGGTATCTCTATTGAATGGAAGACTGATAAACAGAGTTTTTCCACGCTTGGGAAGATTTTATTGGCTTATTCTTTTCAGCTTAGTGACGGCCAGTAAACTTCTCGTAATAGAGACTTGATACTAAGATTTTTTCAGTAGTTCCAGCTCGTCTTTAAAAGTATCTCTTGAAACCATGCATTCTACCTTCTGTGGATGGCAGCGGACGAGGTTGCATTCTTGAAAGATTGAGAAGAAGCAATGTACTGCGCAATCAAAATAACTTTTCGGTAATATTTTTGTTTTACATAAATGTGACTGTGCATGCTTGAGAATGCATTCACCAAAAATAAATAAATGTATGGGGATCTAGTGTTTCTTATCACAAACGTTTTTCTTTTCTTTCATTTTTAATCAACCGAATTGCATGGGAGTTTACGTCTAGTGTTGACCGGCGCACATGGTCTGGTCACTGCATAAAGTAATTTTATTATCAAATTCCAGGTTGAGCACCCCACTTACTTTACTGTAGAGTGATCTGGCCACTAATTCCGTATCGAGAAAGGCCGCAACTATACCAAAAAGTCCGAAAGCGAGAGAGAAATCTGCCATACGTCTTCTTCGCTCCAACAAATGTCTCCTGCGTCCCAAATGATAACCAATGCCTTTGGAATAACGTTCTGTCGGGCGTCGTAGACGTCGATATCGCATATGGACATCTTTTCCGACCCGATCATCATCATTATTCCCGTTTATTGTCGGCCGAATCACAATTGGGTTTGGTGTGGTACTGCTTCCCACCGAAATTGTGTGTGCATTACCTGTTGGGACCAAGGTTGTAGTTAGCGGGATGATCGTGCTGCCCAGTACGGCGGGATGTTGTTTTGTGGTTTTCGGCGAATCAATACGTGGGACTGATGTGAGTGACCAATTGTCTGTATCTTGTCTGGGTGGCAAAAATCGAGTCCGAGATGAGGAGGATTTCACAGTAGGTGGAGTCAGCAGGGGATGATGTTCGTCTTTGGACCTACATGCGGGGGTGGGATAGCAAGGATGCCAAGTTTCGATAGGAAGATTGAATTGAAATGCGGCGTGAATGTTTGGTTTAAGGCGAGTCTTCTCATTTATGTTACAAGAAACGATTCTATCTCCTAACGTTTTCTGTTTGTTTGAACTTATTGAAAATTGTTGTTTGCAGTGCTAAATGCAGTGCTTTGTACAACTCTGGAGACTCGGTAAATCTATGGCAGTCCCAACTTTTTTTCTCAGAGAGGATATATAATATTGGAGCCAAAGGGCAAATAAATAAGGTTAGGTTATGTGATAACATAACTCTTATGAATTAAATTTAAACTAAAATGCTAGATTGTGACACTTAGGACACGGATTTCGCGAGCGCATTCAAGTAGCCAGGTTGTCGATTTCACCAACCCATAGGTTGTCTAACGGTTGTCTCATTTCGTATCACTTAACAGAACTTTATTGAATGCTTTTCAATTCCTGAATGAAAGAACGAACGTTTGAGAATGTTTTGCACAAGTCAATAAAGGTCACTTGAACACTATTTCCTCCTTATTCGGACACATCAGTAGTGTGTATTTTCGAATCCCTGCTAGTAATCCGGACGTGAAGCGGCAGATTCACTAGTGAAATCCTAATCCGTTTGGTACACATTCGACGGCGTACCCCACCGAGCGTGATGATGTGGATTAGAGATGTCATGGATAATTTATTACATGCAGATTCATGGAAACCGAATTTATTTATTACTGGTTTTCACAAATAATCCTGGTGAAACAAAGCGTAAATACAAATATGTGAAAGAGATTCACCGACATTGAATGACATCACCAAAACATCACTGATCCCGCGAACCGTTCGTGAAAGATTGTGATTTTATAATTTCTACTGTATCGCTAATGCTGTAAATAATATTTACGCTCTGACATCCTTGGATCGAATCCTTGGGATTGACTAAGATTTGACCAAGACGTATTCGGTACTTCAAAAGTGTGTTTTGTTACTAACAAATAAAGGGATTCAAGAGGAAATTCTCAGTGAATCTTGAGCAAAATATCAAGCTTTTTCCCACTTTATATGCGAATAAAATTAAGTTTAAATATTACAATGGGGTATACGTTTTTGGTCCATCAAGTGATGTGATGCAAGGGTTCGTTTTCAGAACTTATCTAAAAAAATTATAGGATTGAGTTCATTGCTTCCTCTTATATGGTGGAAAAAACGAATTCCACTTCTCTACATACCTATCGTCATTAATTTACACGACAACATGACGGTATTTCTGTCCTATCGAAGAGACACCTTGATGTATTGAGGGAAGTGAGAGAGAAATTGACGATCCCATCGCCAAAACCAATCATTACGAAAAAGCAAAATTGGTATGTGGGGAAACTATACGTTCACCTTCTAGACAAAAGCAGATTCGCATGCAATGTATGGAGAAAGGTCATTTCGTACCCGTCTAGAAGTCAATAAAAAGAAACGCTACCTGAATTCAAGTAAGATATGAGGATTGATTGTTCAAGGTTTGGCGAAATCTGATTATTCAACAAGAATACTCTTAGATTGCTTGAACTTCTGAAATGGAGTAAACAGAGCTATTCGTCAAGGTCGATATTGGTTGTTCAAGTTTGTGAACCTGACACAACAAACAGTCACAGCAAAAAAAATAGATAGTTCAGTTAGTCACAAGTTTTGTCAGATTGAAAAAAGTCATTTTTTTGTGATTCCATATAAGGCAACTTGGAAAACGTCAAAATTGGATCGGATTACTCGCGACACTCCTTCTTCGAAGTACATTCATTGTCCAATTTCAGTTGACCGTTTGTGTATAGCATCAAACAAAGGAAATAACTATATAGGCTTACAATCAGATCTGACGGTAAGTGGTGTAATTATGGCAAAAATTGCTTGTAATTTAGCGATGATCTATGTGGTTCAGGGAAATTTTCACCTCTGCAGAAGCCGTTACAGCTTCCTCGAAGAACTCTTTGCGAAAAAAGTTCTAGTTTGTGGACCTCCCGTCGACAATGATCAACGTGCAGCTACTTAACCTCTCGGGCGAAAATCCACATTTCCCAATTGTTCAGTATGTGGTCAGTTTTTGAGCATTATCATCCTAGCTATCCTCATGTAAAGTCCCATCACCAGTTTAAGCGAGCACTCTAAATTAAAGATACATTTGCAATTTCTTTATCTTTATATTGTCATGAACTTAACAACAATGTTCGCTGAAATTGTTTATATTCTATCTTCATCTTTTAGACTTCTGGTCCACACGTTATATATAAACAGCTGAAGATCTCAAAATCTAAGGTATGCATGAAAACGGGGAGAGATTGATTTTTCTTCGTTAAACTGGTTGTTTCAGTAGTAGTAATGAATTACATTCTCCCAAACTATGTAAACGGTTCATTTACGATTTTTTTCAAATTTTTCAGTTTTAAGTGGCTTTCTAAGCTTTTACTTGTATGAAATAACGAAATACGGTCAATTTCAACCCACAGTGACTAAAGGTGCATATGGTCTAGCATCCTAATTTCTACTTTATTTACTGTGATGATTATGATTATGATTATACAGCTTTCGACATGTGTTCAACTTTTCCATTTTTCATAAGTTTTTAAAATCACCCGGAGTAAGTTATCCGAATCAGCAGCGCCAAACTATGCTTTCAATGCTTTGAATGTTTCACACCGTTTTATACTCGTTACTTAACCAGCGTGGCAGTGATCACATATACAGTCAATCTAATCTGGGCTTTCACAGAAGGGATGCGATACTATAGTTTGAGATAAATCAGGCGTCACATGACTATTTCAATTCAATTAAGATTCATCGGTTCAATTAAATTGTAAATTACTGAACTTACCGGACTTTCTCGGTTCGGAAACACTTTTCAGCGGTTAGCTTAATGTTATTGGATTTCTCGCCGAGCAAGTGGTAAATAGAATTTAAGAGGAATGTGGAACGCTTCTAAGATGATTTCGGGTAGTTGACTGAGTGAGGCCTGTTGCATCACTCAATAAACATGCGCAAATAAAGGAGGAATAGCGATATGAATTCAACGATAAATTATGGTGCTTTACAAAACAGTAAACGCTCATGGGGTCAAGAGAAACCTTTGGTGAATAGCAACAAATGATTTCTAAGTATTTGAGAGTGCTTTCATTGGGAATTCCTGAGAGAAATTTGACAAAAGCTCTAAAAAGACATTCAGTTTGAAAATGCTTTTCTTCATCAGTAAGTGGAATAACTTGATGTAGTTGCACAAAATTCGATGAATATTGTCATTGTTGCAAAGAAAATTATTTATCCGAAATAAACGGTTCTTTAGTTATTCTGAAATGACTGCTTTGTTTTGTAATGCGTGGGTACGGCTTCCTTTCGAACACAGTGTTTCTCAATCTTTAATAAAAAACTGATTCTTAATAGTAGTGAGCCTGGAACAGGTCAACTGATAACACGCGACATTAAATTCCTCAGAGATGAAGGAAAACTGAAGGGAATGTGTGTGGGTAAACACACTGGATGTTCCCCCAGTTAGCCCAAAGTAATAAGCCTACTACGTGAACCAGACTGATAGTGATGGAGATACCTAAATCTGTCTGTTGTGTTCAACTATGCAAAAAAAAGTTTGAGATCAATAATAATTTCAAACTGAATTCCACAGACTTCAGTCCCTAATCTCCACTGATTAAAACTCTCCCGTCAATCAGAATCAATACAGTGAATAACCCTCTGTCACAAGACTTTCCAACGACAAAATCGGTAACTAAACAAGGACCTTGTTCGCAATATTAGTTCGTCACCGCTTCCAAACAATAAAAACTTTTGCGTATGTTTCTTTGTCACGCTACAATGCGCCCCAACATTTACGAACGCCTCATCACACCAGCAAGGGAAATTTTGAACCTGCGTGGCAAGCAACAGCTGTTTGATAGGGAAGTGTCAAATGGTCAATTTTTATTTCTGTTGAAGCACTATTGAATTGAAGGGGGCATCCGACTAGGAAAACGCCCGAGGCCAGATCGACAGACAAATAGATTGCAATCTGTAAACAGAAAGTAACTGTTGCTTTGCGGCACATGGCTTGCATTAAATGAACAATGAGATTGGTTCTTTGTTGCGTTGTGCGTGTCTGTGTGCGCGCGTGGGTGCGTGTGTCCGTGGTTGGGGGACTGTACGAGTGTGAATGTTGTTGTTGTTGTTGTTGTTCTTTCTGTTGATGATCCCCTATTGTGACCGATATAGATTGTTTTCTCAACTGTATTACCGAATCAAAGATTTAGGTGACATTACTCCCTGATTGGAAAACTAATTACCTCAGTCATTCAATTTTTTTCAAAACACATTCAAATGAAAATCAATGATGCCAATGTGAATAATTCGGTCTTTAAGAAAAAATGGTCTTTTTTATAGATACAGAAAAGAACAAACATCACAGATTTCTCTGGTGAGCAAAAGAGCAACAGATGTGCTAATTTACACAACTTCATCCTTAGACGTTTGAGGATATTGTCTGAGCGAGGAAAGCATTTATTAAAATAGAAAGAAGTATTTTCGATTCTGATTATGTAATTCGTGTGAAATATTTTCCGTAAAAATAAATATATTCACTCCTTTTATTTCAAAGTTGAGGTTATCCCAGGAGATACTTTTGTTACAATGTCTCACATCATAGCATAAAATATTTCCATCTATCCCGAGACAGGTCTTATGAGAGAATGCATGCAGTAAACAAAGTTCTTCATAAATGCCAGCTCATAACTGTGAATCTTGTTCTTGGAAAATTCAAGTTGATACATTGGTGGTGAAACCAGCTAAGCCCCACCAATTGACTCATTATAAAATTGCTATAGTGTAAACGAGTTTTCTGGTTTATCTGTTGTTGCATTCCTCTTCTACTTATACTAGTACTTGGTATTACAATCATTAAAACAGAATACTTACGGCACATTACACGTCGGGGTATCTTTGCGTTCCGCTCCGGTAGTTCCATTTTCTGGTGCAGCCTGATGTTGTCGGCTGAGCAATATCATCGAGACACGGCGGATGCGAGAATCCAGTGGAATTTCGTCATCAATGGTGGTGGTTCGTTTGGGAAACATTTGTGTTAATGTGGGAACTTTGAGCGAGTTCTCTGTGCAGGAATCAATAGACTTTGTTTTCAGGTAATGCGTACCATGCGAATGATCGCCCGGTGTTCTATCAAGGACACTGTCCACAGAATTCACGCTAGTCGGAACTTCCACGGACTGCAAAATGAAATAGATCTTTGATGTGCAAAATGAATTTTTATGGAGAGAATCGAAAATTGGAAATGAACCAAATCCCAGTAATTAACCGTTTTTATTTGCAAAAGTTGAGATGATTTAAAACATTTCGATTCAACGTTTGTGAAAACCGTTTTCCCTACACTGAAGCAAAACTATAAACTAAATTAGTTTAAATTGGTAAATAATTAATCTTGGGGTAATGTAAGATAGTCGGCAATCGTCTCAAATTCAAATCAATTCTACCCAATCTACTGGATCCCCACTGCGAATTTCGAGATGGAGAATCCACACGGTATTTGACAAAGTGCAGTATATCCTGAGATGTAAGAGGAAATATGGCATATCATGCAACGTTTCTGCCAACGTTTGCGTTTGAAGAAGATCTCTGTTGACCGATGCACTTCTCGTGTCTGAATCAAACCCACTATTATACTATCCCAGAATTATGGTTTTGTTTCTTAAATAAAGTTGATGCTAGCCATCGCGTGCCCACAATTTGATCCATCCAGGAAGTGTATACCAAATATTTGTCAAAAGCTTTACCCACATATTTGTTCACGGGGACAGAAGTTTGATTATCATGTATTTACTAAAACGCTGATCTCGGTTAATTTCTCGGAGTAAGAAATTAGTGTGTCTGTAACCACAAAGTTCTATGACTTGAAAGTTGACTAATTTTCAAACTCATTCCTGATATAATTCATGGATGCCTTTGACGAAAAACGTCTAGCACTAACCGTCTCTTATTTCACACAGTGATATGCCACACACCAATCCCCAATTATAATCATTGTGTGCAATTCCCATAATGATAAATGAAGAAGATGTAATTAATAGTATGCTAATCTTCGCATATCCATATTTTTTAAGTAAAACGCTGTGCAATCAAGAAGTTATCTATCGTTGATGCAGCGCTTTCGAAGTTGACATCGTACAATCGTACAATCGTACAATCGGAATTTACATAAAACTGTACCGTGAAGCCACACTCAGTCTCCACTTTTGGATCGATTCGGGGAATCTTCACAAACAATTCTTATCCTACAGATCAAATTTTCCGAATTCTGTGCGTTTTAATGCGTGTGAACATCACTATCTGTCTCTAACCCCGTTTGTGAGAAATCGCTACAAACGAGTGAGGAATAGTGGTTACGGACTGTAAACTGGACTTTGTACCGGCTGGCTTGCCGCCCCTGGGCGATGTTTTGTGGAGAAATGACCGCCCAATCTATTATTTCGAGTACCATCCAGTGACTGATGAGAAAACTGGACTAAGTCACGAGCGTAATAAATCAAGAGTGTTGACTGAATCTGTACCTTGAAGATGACGTCGTTCAACCTGAGGAATTCGATAGTGTCCACGGCGATCTAAAAATGAACTTTAAAATCAAAGGTATCGGAGTTTTGAATTTTGTCAACCAATACTGGCACAATATTACTGAACAATTTTCTTTTAATTTAGCTGCAGAAAATTTTTCTCATTTGTTGTAAACTTCGTTTTCTCAGTTGATCTTACCACATACTCCTTGCGAAAAATCTTCGCCGAGATGACAAAGCCTTATATAGTCAAAAGGTGCATCCTTGTGAAACAAGTTTTATTTTCGTTTAGGATGAAGCTATGGCGTCTGGATCGGATGTATATAAAACTATTCTGTGAGCCAACTACTGTGATGATATGAACTGTGATTTAAAGCAGCTCTCTGGTCCACGAGATAGTTCTTGTCAGAAGAGCTTAATATTCAATTTCCCACTGTTTCTAAACCTAACTATCTCTATCCTTAATTTCTCCCTTAAAAGAGAGTAACTTTGTCTCTCCGTCTGAACAGTAGACAGTTCCGGAGTATCTTACATCCAACAAGTCATATGGCTCTGATTCATCGTTTCCCGTCCTACTGGAATTGTGTGCTAAATAGATTTCATCACCTATTTGTAATTTTTTCTTTCTGTATATGTTCCCCATTACTGGCGATCTACCCAAAGAATACTCACCCCTAGGACCTTCAAAGTATCGAATATCTGCTTGTGACCCATAGTTGTTGAGAGTTTTCGAAGGAATGCTGTCAAACTGGATGATTCTCTTGTCTCACGCTCATAACCCCTTTTCACTTTGCTTCTCCAATCTAGATGTTCACTAGTCGTCTCTGATCCTTAGCATTTTTAGTTTAGTACTCTTAGACTAGGAGTAAGCTTTTTGAACACCTAACCGTAAACAACTTACTGGTTAAGACCTGGGAAATGTGAGACTGCCGCAACGTCTCTACCACGGCCGGTAAAAGCCTTCCGCGTTCTCCCAACTATCGCGGAGATGGCCCGCAAATACTGAAAGTAACTCTTGGGACACCAGAAATGGTAAACACAGTTCTTCAGTCATTGTATGAACACAGAACCAGAGGGCCCAAAGAACTACGCGTAAGACCGATGCTGAATCCAGGATCGAAAAATTGTCCACCAGTTGAAAATGGTAATCACATTGCACGTGAAACACTGCAAACTTCATGCTCCAC